CATTATTGATATTGTCGTTGGACAGCAACAAGTGGTTGATTTCACTTTCGCTTTCATTATAGAGGGGATTTGAAATCAGGCAAAGCGTTTCCTACCCTAGTTCCAGAGGTTTGTCTGTGTTATTCTCTGGTGTAAAATATCTCTGTTCTTCGAGGCTACGCAGAGAAAACCTCTGGAACCAGGGTAAGCGTTTCGTTAGGTCCTTATCGATCAATTAGGATTTGGGAGGGGGAGGGGGCTGGAAAATTTTGAAAAAACCGCTATAAATTCTAATGGTCAAGATCGCCCCTTATTGAAATACCTTCAACYTTCAACACTGATCATTGGACATTTTCGAAAAAAAAAAACAGTTGAAAAAACAAAGTTTTAAAAGCATTTTGACTGATTCAACATTGATTCAATAAATGTTGAGCGCTTTTCGGCTTACCTTCAGGTGTGGTTTATTCATACGTCGAAACCATAAGAAAATCTCCGACTACACTCAATTGCAGGCACGAGATTATGTTCGATTTATATCCAGTGGCGAATCCAGGATTTTTCAAAGGGGGGTTCCACTTTGTTTTCGCATTTTCCTAAAACGAACTGTTTTACTGTGCCTCTCGAGCTATAGGTTGAAATGTAACGCGGATGTAGATAGCGCATCTCTTACATTGTAAATTCTCGATACGCTTTACAGTTCTGTGTGCGTACATTGCATTGTAAAAGTGTAATATAAACCGCTTACCTATTTTAAGATATATGCCAGCTTCATTCTTCTCGGATGCGTTTTCATTTGATTTCATTTATCATTTATTTTTTTTATGCTCGASGGGGGTTCCTAGGAACCCCCCTGGGTCCGCCACTGGCTTCAAGTCTTGTTCTGAAATGCGCAGCCAGGCAGCCATATTTTTTCAAATAAGATAATATATATTATGATATTTATTATATTCATCGCTGTCATAAGCGTCATTAATCGTCACTTTAATTGAATTTATCTTCATGATTCCAGCATTAAAGACGAAGACACTGGCAAGACTTACTATTGTATCATGGAATACGCYACACCCTTGATGAGTCTATTTGACATGTCAGAAGATTCCAACGCTGGACTGTCCAGGGAGGAGAGGGACAACCAAGTGAAYCTCTTCGTAGCAAAGCTGAGGGAAATCCTTGATCATAACCCGGAGTGTAAAGACAAGTATAAGCTTGTTACATTTGGCGGAGAAAACCAAGACATCGGCAAGATCATGATAAGAGCCATGAAAGACTGCACTCTTGACTTTGGCGAGAAAGATTGAATAAACAAGACTCGATTTATGCCAAATATAGATTTATGCGCAGGTACAAAATGTTAGTGATTGAATTATTACGTCCAATTAAAGAGAGCAAATAATTCTATTAATTAATCTTCAGTACGTTTGATGATTATTATTATCGCTATATACATTTCACAGAAATCACGTTCATGCGCACACATGTTTTAATAAGCTCATGCATGTGAACAGAACATGCAAGGTAAATCTCGCCTATACTTKGTGTGTTGGTATTATAGTCTTGCATGGATGAAAATGCARCTGCTGACAGGACGCGAGTTAACGCTTTTGGTGCGTCTACCTCGATTGCATAGCAACGCACACATCTATATTTTGAACATCTCGTTTTTCTCATTTGGATGCATGCTCGCTAGTACYGCTATTTCAGTTTCTAAGGTGATTATTAATCACGTTATCACGTAAGTCATAGCTTGCTAATATACATTACAATGCTTTCCTTGTTTTTTTAGTTTCTCTTGTTGGTTTATGTAATGATGATTACCACTTCATATAATTACCCATTGGATAGCACTAAAAAGACGCTATTTAATTAGGGTTAGGCTTAGCGTAGGGTTAGGGGGAAAAGGGCTACATAATAGGCTTACGGTTGCTGTTCACGACGTTGTAAGCATAACTAGACGTATAGCTGCGTGAACTCGGGGTTCTGCTTGATAAAAATCTACTAGTGACATTATACATTAGTTAAATTAATTGGAGTGTCTGAACGTCATGCAGCCGATTTTTTTTTTGAAAAACCGTCGTATGTANTTTGGGGCAATGATAAATTGCTGTCGTAATGGTTGAAGGGGGACGGTCTGATACAGGGGGGGTTCCACAACTCTGGTATGTCATTTATTCCCAGTAGTTCTGGGACTAAACGTCACGCTTCCTGCTGACGTTTAGACACTCCGTAATGAAATAATTGGTCATCTTCGGCAAGCGGCCCTCTCTTTGACAGTCACATGACAGGCTGTGAACACAGAGTTAGACGTTGAATCCATGCCTTCTTCCATCACGCATTACACTCTTGCCGACAAGTGCTGAGCTTGGGTTACCTGGGACAATTTGTGACTGAAAAGCGATGACGACGACAGTGACTGACCAAAACCTAAACTCGGGATTCCTTTGGAACCCTGGAGTGAAAAATAGCTTTTTGGATTAAG